CCCAGGAAGACCAAGTTGTCTTCTCCATGGAAAGGCCCATATGACATAGTGGATCGTCTCTCAGACGTGACTTTCCAGATAAAATGTGGTCGGCGAGGTAAGCCAAAGATGGTGCATGCCAACAGGCTTTGGCGTTATCATGGTCCAGGACATTTCAGTTGGGACGAAGTGAACATCAGAACAAATGACGCTGCTGAAGACGTGTCACCTGAAAAAGCCACTGTCGAAGAAGAAACTCTACTCAGTTTTGAGAAGGGAAACAGTGAAGCTGTTGATGAAGTTACTACCACTGATGCGACTGTTACCGACGATAGGACATTTCCTGATGAAGCAGATGAACCCCATATGAAGCAGAAGCCAACGATACGGAGACCAGTACAGAAGAAGATACGTCCCGTAAAATTAAGAGACTTTGTTGAATTTAGATTTTGTGTTTGTAAATTCTGTACATTTAATTAAGTTATTGTTAATTGTTTATTGGTTTAATGTAAGTGGCTATTGTTCGGGACGAACAATACTAAGGAAGGGGCAGTGTTACGACAGCGGAAGTCACGTGACGCTAGTAACCCGTCATTAACTTCTAGAAGGATCCTGTCCCTTTCTGAATGCTCTTGCGTTTGCTAGCTTTCGGTATTCTTTTATATATAAGACGGTCAATACGTGACTGCAACAATGTAATGTGTAATTGAACTGCGAACAGAGACGTATTGTTGAATCGAACACGTGAGACGTTCGTTGTGAATTATAGCGTTTGTTATAGCGCGACTGTGGAAATTAAGTGTATTGCAAAGTTGTATTCAGAAAGAATAAACTAGTTTTATTTAAGAAAGGACTTGTATCGCTAAAGTTTCTTCGGAAAGGAATTATACGGAAAATTAACTAACGAACGGAGGCATAACAATATATATGTATATATACGATATACACAAGCCATGTGTAAATATATTTAAATAGTCATGCATAGTTTAGTTCAATTGAATGTGTTATTTATAACAATAGTAGTTTAAAAAAATAACTATTTATAATCTCCCTAAATAATAAAAAAAATTACAATAAACAATGTAGATTTTGTAGGTTTTGAACCAAACTAAATAACAGTAAACCTTTTTTTGAACCTATTTTAAACTTGCAGTTACACTTATGGGAAAAGGTAGTAGGAAAACTTTTGGTGGTGCAACATGATTATTGAGATAGAAATACTTTTCAGTATTTGATAGATTACTAATGGTTTGATATTTTTTATCTTGTGATCTTGTTGATGTTAAGAAATTGCCAATGTCAATGCATGGCTCAGTGACTACAGAAATACCATGACGAATCTCTGATAAATCCATCATTGCTGTAGTGCAGTGCGATGATGATGGTCCAGGAAGAACAGAGTTGTCAGTGGTTGAAGGAGTTTGAGGCTCAAGTAAACCAGTTTGCATATCATCAGTGTCATCACCACAAGAATATAGCTCAATAGTATCAACCTCACGAGCTTCACATTCATCACTGCCACCAGAGAAAGACTGAGATGATGACTGGGCGGTGTCATTAGCAGTATCTGATAACAAAAATAGATAGCAATTTTAAAGAGGCGACTACTATATTTCTTTTTTATAACATTGTAATTTATAAGATACATAAAATTTATAGTACATATTGTTTTTGTACTCGTCTATATGTAAACGAATTATAATATTATGTATAGGTATTCATGGATTAAACACAAACTTTGTAATTTAAAACACCAGACATATGCATAGCACAACAGAAGGTAGCTATTCTAATTGCATGTCAAAGGCTACAGTAGCTACTGAAGCAGCAAATCTACGTAGTACTGTACCTTGGTCATCATGTGGCAGTCCTTTTTTTTTTGCTGGCAAAAACATTTGTATAGTGCTGCAATCAGTTTCACTTAGGCATTTCATTCTGTTCAGGAGGAAGTGTCGAAGGTCTAGCTTATATATTGTATAATGTGTATTCTCACGAGCGAGGCTTTTACTTGTATAGTGGGTATTTTTCAAATGGGTCTCAGTTTAGTACAATTCTTAGCTAATTCCTTGTACGAAAATAAAACCTGTGAAAATGCTTAAATCCTAAACCCACAATCACTTTATAGTTCTATTTCGTGACATACTGAAAACCACGTGTAGCTCTTAGATATACACCACTGTTTCTTAATGCAAGCATTATGATTAGGATGTTTTATATAGCTTGAGCATAATATTTAGTTATTCTTAGAAGCGAGAGTTTTTGCAAGTTTGTTTACGTAATTGTTTACGAATGATACGTTGTGTAGCGTGTACGTTCAATTATCATATTGGTGTGTCATGTTACTAGAACTTTCTAGATTTTTCTCATTGTTTTAATTAAGTATTGAATATCTAGTATTGCGTTGAATGTTCTAGACTTCTGTCAGGGTATAAATACACGTCAAAATATTAATACTTAGATCTAGACTGCGCGTTTGTGAATTTAGTGGTAAAGAGTATATAGTGGCGATATTTAAAGTGAAATTATCGCAGTCTGTATCATAATAACAGAGCAGAGAAGAATAATTCGTTTTGTCAGTTGTATTCTAAAGTAATTAAACCAGCCTGTGTGGACTATGTCAAAAAAGAGACAATTATTTAAAGCTCACAACTGTGATAAACAACAGTGTAATGAACACTTGCATATACGTTTGGCTTGTTTTAATATATTATTTTAAAACAAGTGACTGTGTTGCTATTTGTTTATTGTTGCAATTTATTGCCAATAAATCACAGATACCTATTGTAAAGAATCCAGCCTACAAAATCTGACAGTAGCAATACTGCTTCAGAATGTCAATTACAAAGTGTCAACAGAAACCATTGCATGCGACTGTTTCAAGCTAAAAAAAATGCTAATGCTTCACCAGAAAAGTGTAGACTACGTAGAAAACGTTAAGTACTGTTACGCCTCCGTTCGTTAGTTAATTTTCCGTATAATTTCTTTCCGAAGAAACTTTAGCGATACAAGTTCTTTCTTA